TTTTGATTCCCTCTATCATTTACTTGTGACACATTTTGGACTTCGGCCAACCATTAATTTGTCTGTCGAAGAGCAAGTTGTAATGTTTTTGCACCCTATAGGGCATAATGAAAGGAATAGTGTCATACATGTTACCTTCGGGCATTAACAAGAGACTGTAAGCCGGTATTTCCACAAAGTCCTATGTGTTGTACTTAGATTGTACCTTTTGTTGGTTATACAACCAACCGGAGAACAAGTATCCCTGGAGATTAGGAATGACTCCCGATTTATGCCATATTTTAAGGTATATAATAAATTTTTACACTTTTTTTCCTTAAAACCTCCCTAAACCATGAAATTAACATAATTTAGTTAAATGTAGGACTATGTAGGTGCAATTAATGGGACCCATATCACATGCAAAGTGATTGTTGAGGAGCAAGGCAAGTTTCATGGTAGGAAGGGGAAAATAACACAAAATGTAATGGCTGCAGTGACATTTGATTTAAAATTCAGTTATGTATTGGCTGGGTGGGAAGGTTCGACCACTGATGCCATAGTGCTCTATGATTCCCTACAAAGGAAATGCAAACTCCAAGTCCTAGAAGGTAACTTAAATTGATACTTCATCCTTTCTAATACTCAAGTAGTGGACTCCATTGTCTTAACTAATTGCTTATTGCCAATGATCACTCAATGCAATATAGGAAAATACTACTTAGTAGATGCCGGATATAGAAACATGCTAGGCTTCCTAGCACCTTACCGAGGCAGTAGATACCACCTCAATGAGATACGAAGGCGGTTGTCGGAGTCCCCTAGGGAGATTTTCAACCACAAACATTCATCATTGAGAAATGCAGTGGAACGTGCTTTTGGTGTTCTAAAGAAGTGTTGGGCAATCCTTGATGCAACACAATATTTTGACTTTGACACGTAGGTCAAGATTGTTATATCTTGTTGTGTGCTTCACAACCATATCATGGGAGTTGATCCACGTGACCAATACACCCGAGAAAGGATCCGTGAGGCGGACAGGAAAAATACATCCGGTGGGGATGAATTTGTGGATGAAAGCACCAATGTAAATTCTCTTGCACCGAGTTTGCAAAGAAATGAACTAGCAAGGTGGTCCACATTTAGGGACCAAATTGGGTCAGACATGTTCCAGGACTGGAGGAAATTGTGAAGATGATTAGGAGTTGTAGTATTTGGATTAATTACTCATCATTTAGAACCAATTTGTACTAATTGTAGTTTTGAATGTTTAAAACCTCCAAGCTATTTGTTTTATTAGATATTCATGACTTGGTATAGACATTTTGATATATCAAAAATATTTTTTAAACACGTTATTTTTGTATTGTACATGTTTACTTTTATGTTGTTGATTACTAGAGGTATTTTCAATATTTCTTTATGATATTGTATGTACATGTCTATATGTTATTTATTTACTGCATGAAATGGAATACTTTGGTAGGAATGGTCTCTAGTAGAGATACAACAAGAACATCTATTAGTAATAGGAAAGATGGCAATAAGGGAAATGGTGTGTTGTCTATCTCTCAAACTATGTCCAACAAGGGTGATCGAAGTTGACAAGTAAGATGGAATGATGCCATGGATAAGGCATTGATTGAGCTACTTGCTGATCAAGTAGCATTCGGAAACAAAATTGATAAAGGATTTCGGACATCTGCATACACATCAGTATGCAAGGAGATGATTGCCGTTTCAATATTGATATGAAAACACCCCATATTAAGAGTAGAATGAGAACATTAAAACCCATATACATGGAAGCCAAGAAGCTGCTCGAGACTAGTGGCTTTGGTTGGAATGAATCCAAGAATCAAATCATAGTTGACCCAGTTGTTTGAGATGATTACATCAAGGTAAATGTGGCTTATTTGGTTTTTTTAATTAATATTTAAAAATTACTAACTGGTCATAATGCCATCTACAGTGCAGGCCAATCCACTTGCATTGTGTGTTAAAGGCAGAGTGGTGGAGATGTTTGAGGAGATGCAAACAGTTCTGGGAAATGATGAGCCTACAAGTGACAAGGCTATGGCAGGGTTTGAGTCAACGGCTAAGTGTAATGTTGATGTTGATGGTGTTAAAGAGGATGACCCAGAGATCAATGATGATGCAACAACCCCACTGGCTGTTGATGGATTTATTTGTGGAGATGGTATTCAATCAATCTCCAACAATAACCGTATGGCAGTTTCCTCAAGCTCAAAAAAAAGAGTGCATAGATCAAAACCGAAGTCTAACCAAGACTTTATTGATGCAATTAATAGAATGAACATTATAATGTCAAAAATTGCATCTGCACTTACATTAGAAACTGAGATGGATTTCTTAAACCCTTTATGGAGGGAAGTTATGGACTTGGAAGGGTATGACATCCAGGTCCGGAACACTATCTTTGGGTACCTAGGTGAACATGAGAATGAATCAAATATTTTCCTTGTGAGGGACAAGCCATTTAGGGCTGAGATGGTCATATCCATCATATCTAAGATGATTGGTTTTGGTGGGATGCAATAGTACCTCTTGGCTTGTTATGAAGTTTAGACAATGAAACTTAACACTTCTACCCTTTTTTGTTATAACCAAATTAAGCTTATGCATTTGCTGATAAAACCTATTAACTAGTTGGTGGCAGTTATAGTAGCTATTACAACTCCTTAGAACTTCTATAATGATTTGATATAATGGAACTTTCTTGTTATAACTCTTTGTTTGTAGTATATCATCATTTGTCTGTTGCTTGAAATATATGTAGAGTTAATTACATTGTTGATGTCTTATACTCACATCAGTTTGTCCTAATGATGAGGTGTATAGGATGAAAAAAATCTTATGTTGTGTTCAAGGGAGAAAGCCAAGTGTGTATGACTCATGGCCCGAGTGTCAAAAGCAAGTTGTTGGGTTCAGGGGAAATTCTTATTGTTTATATAACAGTCGAGAAGAAGTTGAAAATGTATACTATAAGTATTGTGAAGTAAAGCTGGATACAACATATTCCTCCAAGAAGTTGGTTGTAGGGCCATCCACATCAACAATTAGGCCATATCTGATAGAAGGCATCATTAGATTCTTTACTGGGATTGTGGCATGGGGGTTGTTTAATTAGCCAAATCATTTGGAAGGTTATATATATACAGAGAGAGAGAGGAGATTTGTGAGTAAGGGAGAAAGAGAGAGAGGGATGGTTCAGATGCAACTCAACTAAACACTAGATGTGTGTGTTTGTTATCCTCTGTTATGGATATGAATTTGTTTTCATCTATTCCTTTTTATCCTCTGTTATCATTATCAGATCACTTATATTTGTTTTGATAGAGTAGGAACCACATTTTGGATTTACAAAAGGTCAATTCTTTATTCAGCCATTAAATATCTCATTCCCCCAAATATCTGAAAATATGGTGTGAATCAAAAGATATCTTACTTCTGCCATATAGACATATTTTACACAACTGAAAGTTTGAAATTCAAATTTATTTTCTGTGAGCTAGTAATTATATTGTATTTTTATAATTGTTTATCTAAAAAATATATAGCATTTCTTGACAATGATTGGATTTATTTACACATCATGTTGGTTAGAAAAGTAGTATAATATCTAGGAGTAAGACAGCAAGACTGTATTTGAAGCAATAAACTAGAAAAGCCAAAAATAACTTTTTTTATTGGTAAGAGAAACTTTAATTATTATGAAACATATAGATGTGGGAAGATTAGATATCCCTGTTCTTGGTAAGGTCTAGCCGGATGTTCCAAATTACCACGTCCCCTTATATTTTTTACATGATAAACTGATACAAAAACGGTTGTGAACAGTAGTAACAAGATTTGATCTTTCTTTGAAGGCCCGAAAGTACCTTTTGGGCATGTTAGAAACTCTCCTGTATGAATGAAATGTGAAGGGATTGAATAGGAAGGGGAAGGTGATTTAGGCCATAGTTCCTTATGCCAATATATGGTCTATATGATTGGAGAGAAACTCTATTCTCATATTTTTGAACAGATGAGCAGATATGAAGGAGTGATCATCAACAAAATATGGGCTTCCCCATATACTCGCCTGAGTCATAGCTATCCCACTCTTTATCCTGTCATCATTAAATAAAAAAAAAAAAAAAACAAAACCTGGCATATACGATTGGAATTCAGAAGCATGAAAGCACAGAGCATCAGAACTAGCTTGAACCAAAATGGCTGAGGAGGATCTGAACCCACAAGGCCACAGCCACACACGGTGGCATGGCAGCAAAGCCTGAACCAAAATGAATTATGGGGTGGAGCCCCAGCTTTATCTACCCATCAATCCATCTTCTTAGGCTGGCATCTTACACGAACAAGTTAGAATTGCATATGAATTCATAAGAATGGATGGTCCAGATTTCATCGAACCTGAACTGGTGGTTATTTGACCAAAAGTTCAGTGGGTAATTAGAGCATTTATGTTTGCTCTCATAGATTGCATCGATGTCAAACAAATGACAGCAAATTTGTACCCTGATTTACATAAATTCCAAACAAACGAGAAGAATACAAAAACCGGACTAAGATGTGAGCCGACTTGGTATTCATGAACCGAGATGAGGGCAAATATGCAGGGTACATATTTGCATTTGCATTAGAAACAAACGGAGCCTAGGACCAATTTTGTAAGGAAATCCGATTTCTACAACCACAACTTTGATGTACGAAGCAAAAAGGAAACGACATACGAGATTGCGTGCAAGTAAAAATTCTGCAACACACTCGAATCCAGCCACACATTGGGACATCTCCCAATGAATTTAACACGTGTATGTGGCTGGATGCTATCAATCCACACAGCTTTTGCTTGCGGAAGATCTGGGCTCGCTCTTACAAACCATTATCAGTTCAATATCCAAAGCCAAAGGAATGCAACAGACTATTATCTGTCAGCCTCACCTCACTGGCGTCGACTCATTTTCCACATGTAAACCCAGATTTAGAACTTTTTGAAATGACAAAACCTGAGAAAGGGCATATCGTAGTATCCGAAGTGACGACTAAAATCAGTCAAATGTAGATATACAATAAGAGATTTTACTCGGGATAGAAAATGATATCATACACTAAAATACACATCAAACATGTAAACACAAGCCACATCTCCAGCAATGTGCCGTATTTGATCCCAAGGGATCAGACAGCAGGAAACCCGACTACCCATCAGTGATTAATTGCCAACTATTTACCTTTATTCACTATCCGAAATAAAGTTGGGCTCCTCTCCTTGGCAGAGGTACTCATCACAGATGGATGCAGATCTCCAGTCTTTACGGAGGCGGAGTATGTCCTCCGTGAATGTTGATCCTGCTGATCCAATAAACACACTTGACATAGCACAGATGGTCTTGTCTAGCATAGCTTCAACCTTCAACATTAGAAAAGAAAAAAAAAAGAAAAAAAACAATAAATACCTTTACGATCAAAAGGAATGTACAACAGATGAAAAAATAAATAATAATAAACATAAAAATGAAAATCAATATTCATAAAAAAAAAACAAATATGATGCTTTTCTGACATGCTCGAAGCTGGCATAGTTCAATCATATTTGTTCCTCTACAGTATATGCATCATCAATCTAATTACTGAGGTAACCATCCAATTGCTATCATTTCAGCAGACCATAGTATCTTCTTCTTGCTGATCATTCTTGTTGGGTGTGTTATGTGGTTAACTAGCACCATTTTGAAACAGAACTTGTAGTCCACAAAAACAAGAAATTGTTTCCACAACGCATATGTCCATCACTCTACCTACACTTTCTCAGGTCTGGAAAGCCTTGGCAAGTTTTTGATCACTTTATTGAGTTTAAAGCGAAAAATCACCTAACATACTGATTTGCAGATGAAACAAACGTTCCTCAATGAGTGGGGTACATCCAAGTGACATTTAGTTGGATCCTGCCTACCGGAGTAGCAAGGGGATGTGTTTACAAGGGGCGTTTGAGCTTCGGCTCAGTAGAACTGCTTCTCTGTGGAAGTTTACTGTACTGTTGTAATAATTGATTGATTTTCCTAAATAAACAAATTAGCACTTACATGTTTTTGATAAAAAAAAGTTGTAGATAAAAACAATCCCATAATTGTTCCCTGAACCATAAATGCATAACATCTATAGAATGACGGTATCCCAAACATTTGGTTCCTTGACCAGGAAAACCATGTATCAAAGATCCAAGAACAGAAAATGTCTTTAAGCTACTAGTACAATTTTGGATGGTTTGGAAAAATAAGGTGGATGGTCAGTAAAGTTGTTCTGAACATTTACATCAAGTCAAAATAACTTGCCATTTATTAACAGTAACCCATCAGATACGTAGTTTTATGGAACAAGAACTGGGTAATTTACTTCTGAACTCCCAAAGTATAAAAGAAACTTAAGCTCACCTGGGAATCTCCCTCAAGTCCATGCCTGTAGAGAAGAGCATCCCATTTTTCAGCTGAATTGCGAGCTGGCCGTTTGACCAGTGGGATGGCCTTCCCATTCAGCCTAATCAGTGATTGCAGTAGATCAGTTTCACTTTCTGCTGCATCTGTGGACAAATAAATTACTGGTACATCGGCCCTTTCCACCACCCGAGTAATGCAATCAGCTGCCTGAGGAATGGAGAAAAAGCAACTAGGCTTCTTTGCATTGCTGACAAGATAAACATGAATTCTCAGAGAAGTACTTTGATACAACATTTTATTTTTATTTACTTTCTTTTTGACTGGTAATATGTTTTCATTTTCTCCCTTGTGCATATGCAGTATCAGGCCACACTTCATGATAGGGCTTGCCTCTCCAAGCATTAAGAAATTGTATATTTGCCCAGAAGATGATAACTTCATCTGGTGGAAAGATGCTAATAGATAGGCAAACCTACAATTGAAGGTAGAAGGTTGAAGCTATATCATCCATGACAGGGAAACCCTCCATTTCACTAGTTCCCACGTGAAATATCCCCATATTTCCAACATCATTTATAACATGATGTATTTTGCCTTCTGAACTTTGTTGATACAAGCAACTAAAACCATATTACTTATATGACATATCTAATGTGTTGCGATAGGGGTGTCAATTGGACTGGATTTGGTTAATCCAGTCCAATATGAGTCCATTACAGATGGACCAGGTCCAATCCAATTTGATGAATACTCTGGACCATCCAATCTGTCCAAATTGACTTTAATTTAGATTGGTTCCAACCCTAATTTGGTCCATTGACACCTGTATCCTTATCTTCTATTAATGGACCAGATATTGGTTAAATCCTACCCAATCCAATATAAATCCATTATGGATGGACCAGGTCCAATCCAATAAATGCTTTGGACCATTAAGTCTGGAGTGGTCCATTTCAATATATCTTATAGGCCCGTTCAATCTGTCCAAAATGATTTTGATTTGGATGGGGTCCAACCCAAAACCAGTCCATTGACACCCCTAGTTGCTAATATTAGCCATGGCATTGTAACTTGTGAGAATACCTAATAATATGATAGATTTTACAAGCCATCACATCAAATTATAAATATACAAGTATCTTCATCACACTTACATGAATATATATATATATATTAGAATGTTAAATAAGCTTAGACCTATACACCTATCCACTTGGATTATCACAAAAGCAAATCCACCATACACTATCTACTAGTTTCATTATATCGCAATGACAATATGGAAAGGCACATCAGTTTCTTATGCTATCGAACAATGATGAAAGCCAGAGTCCAACACATAAGAAGGATACAAATAATGTCAAATGATTTCACTATTAACTAAAACAGTAGCTCCCTTAATCTAAGTTAACCAGATATAAATTTGGACAGAGAAACAAATATGCCTAATGTGGATAAAACTCTAAATTTCTTGAAATTCAGAAGAAGGATACAAATACAATATCTCATTTTTTTTATTGGTGCAAATACAGTATCCCATTTAGTATGCTAAATACCATAGAGCTATTGCTGATTTTGCCTTGATAGATAGCAATGGCCTTTCTTGGAATTTGGGGTTGAGAGATTTAGAAACTCCTAAGCTTGTTAACATGCTAGAGGTCCTAGCATAGGTTTATCTTTGTCCTCCAAGGTTGGATGTGAGGGTATGGAGTCCAAACTCTGGTGGTAGCTAGGGATGATCATGATCATTTTGAGCCCGACCTGTAAGATATTATTTATATATTAAGTATTTACTAATATATATTATATATGTTATAAAAACTATTAGTGACTTAGGCCCAAAGCCCTGCCCAGGTCCTGGCCCAGGCTATAGCCCTCATGTCAAGTGCTAAGCCCAGCCCAGCCCATGATCACCCCTAGTGGGTAGCCTTTCATGTGCTTTCTGCTTTAAATCTCTTTACTAGACCATTGTGACACACCTTTTCCCTGTTAAAACCTTATGGACTGGTCCAGCCCCTTCAAAGGTGAAGGTTTTTTTATTGAAGACAGCCAATCGAATTACCAATTCCAGTGAGAGGCTTCAAACTTCAAAGGAAATAGAAAACTAGGTAGTTTTCCCCTCATTTGTACATTATATGTCTAAAGAGAGGAGAAAACACTAATCATCTTCTTTTGACTTTTTAGTATGCTACTCAGGTATGGAACCATTTCTTCCTTATCTTTGGGAGCAATTGGATAGAACCATCAAATGTCAATGGATCTCTTCTCCATAAGCTTTTTTTTTTTTTTATCAGTGTCTCTTCTCCATAAGCTTAGTTCATGTCACACAAAGAGGCAAAAGAAATTGTGGCATTATACAGAGGCAGATTTTTATGGAACCTGTGGTGGGAGAGGAATGATAAAATCTTTGAACACAAAGAACCAGAGGCGAATTCCATGATAGATCCACCATGATAAGAATAGCAATGTTGAGCCTCAGTGTGTGTGATAAATCTAAGGTGTTACCATGGATGAACTGTTTAGAGATTGGAAGATTGTGGTGAGTTAACAATTTAGAGAGCAACAAATGCAAGTGGAACCGAGGGAACCTAAACTGGATAGATTGAAACTCAACTCCAATGGTTGCAGCATAGGCAACCCAGGGGCCATAGGAATTTGTGGAGTGGTGAGAGATAATAAAAGAAAAATTCTTCTTAGCCTCTAAAGCCCAGTTGAGCAAGGTATTTCTTTAAGGCAGAGCTCCTGGCCCTTATCCAAGGTTTAAAGTAGTCTCCATGCATTGATGGACAGATCCAATAGTAGAAGGGGACTGCCAGTAAATATCTTGGCTGAGAGCAGAAGGTGAAATTCCTTGGATCTTTAAGCCCTTGATTAGACAGGCGCAAGCACTAAGCAACATTTTGAAATTTGAACAGATCATACAAGAGGGTGCCTAGGACTGCAAATCTCTTGGCTGATACTTTAGCAAAGGAAGAGACAAACAACAGAGAGGTTTGAAAGGGGAACACCTGCACTGGGACTGAATGTGAAAAGTTCAATTTTTATAATATTGATGCACTCAAGGACGGCCTTGTATCTCTACCGGTTATCCTTAAAAGTGTCCATTTTTAAAAACTTTTTTTTTTGAAAAAGGTTAAGTATATTTTTGAGGAAAAGGTAACTTGTATAGTTGTATTAATCAAAAAGGGGAAGGATGTACATGAGAAGATGTAAAAGATAGGGCCATGAAAAAACAAAAACACATGAACCCATACAATTAAAATGGTAATGTATTCACACTATACAAATGATCCTTTCCCAATCCAGATTCAGCTAATCTATCTGCAATTGATTCAATTCTCTTGGAATCCATCTAAAGCTGCAATTTAAAGAAAATGAAATGTCATGGATCTCAAGAAGGTTTCCAAGGAGCTGAGTCCCTGAACTTGGCCCAATTTATAGCATTCCTGGAATCTCTTCTATCACTAGATTTCTGAACTGCTTCTGAGTAGAAATCTGGAGCCCCTCTAGGAGGGCATGGGTTTCAGCACTAGCTGCATCTGAAGCTGTAGCTGGACCTCTAAAAGCCCAAACCAGGCCCCTATCAACTTTGCTGATGATACCGCCAATACCAGCAGCAGTAAGACCATCCTGATTTCTGCTAAAACTTCCATCAGACTGTAGGATATAATCTGTCTGTGGCCTGGGAAGAATATGTAACCAGTGATAGGCCACCTCTTTATGCACATTCTCAACTCTAAAACCTAATAGAATACCTTAGAAATAAATAATAATGGTGATAGGGGATCTCCCTGTCTGATCACTCTAGAGCTGAAAAAAGAGCCATAAGATCCCCATTGATAATAACAAAGAACATAGGGGCAGTTACACAAATTTTAAGCTAGCTATGTTATTTAGAACCAAAATTCTTTCTATTAAGAACATAATCTAGGAAATCCCAATTCACATGGCCGTATGCCTTCTCCCTGTCCACCTTACAAACAATGCCAAGCACTCCATTTATCAGCCTACAATCCACCAGCTCATTGGCAATCAGAACACTGTCCAATATCTGTTGATCCTCACAAAGGCACCTTGAGAACCGGAGACAACAAACTCCATCACTTTCTTCATTCTATTGGCCAGCACTCTTGCCAAAATGTTGTAGACACTACTTGTAATCTTCAATATGTAAAAGTGGTTCAGGCTCAAAATGGCCACACATTTTCCTCTTGCTATTCTCTATTAGGTCAAATTTGAAACTAAAAACCTTTGCCATGTGCCCAAACCAGAGGTTTCCCTACTTCGTTGACCAATGCGGGGATAAAGGCTGAGAAAAAGAAACCCAAATGCATTCCTCTCCCTAGGTCTGTTACTTCTTTAAGGCTCCTCAAATCTGCCGTCAGAGTCATGTGGTCTATTTCCAACTTAATAGAATGACTTGGATTGTCCACATCCATGGTGTAACATTTCTAAATATTTCCTAAGATTTTCATGACATATTTCCATTTCCATGGATATCAATATGAATTATCACTGGAGTATATCTCAATATGTTCCCTATTGCCTAGTGGATCCAATGGGCACCCAATTTGACAGATCATTCCAATCGGCCCCATGATTCCCCCATGAGAAATAGGTGGGGTCATGTAAGGAAACTCCCTACTTGACTTGAATGGGAAATCTCCCCAAGAACAAAAGAAGAGTTTAGCAAGTTTTTCCTGGGTATTGACATTCTGTTATGGTGATTGGGGCTTCTCAAAAATTCAAGGAAGCTTTTTTTTTTCCTTTTTTGATCTGTAAAAATTCAAGGAAGTTTCAAACTCTTCTTATAGTAGGGTCCTATACATTATCAATTTCATCAAAATCCAGTAACAACAGCCAATTTGATTTGCAGCCACAGTTAAACTCTAGCATGTTTCAAATTTGGGATCTATCTTCACTACCATTTACAACTATTTAGGATGTAGTAACTGTTATTAAAGGAGGATGCATGTCTCCATAGAGGTAATCTGCACATGGACAACATGGACAAATTTATATGTTTACAACTCGATAGCTTGAATGTGGAATTACTCTGTCCAGCTCCATGCAACTAAGACAAGCAGCTGCAAATACAGTTGAAACCTTAATAATCACATTAGGTCATCATAAACATATAAAGAACACACTTCCAAACTGTTAAGCAAGTAAACTTAACATAATATGATCATCCTATAATATCCCTACGAAATACTTTAAAAAAAAAAAGTGCAAGGGCATACCAGAATTTCAAAAATCCATGTCTACGGAAATGGAGTGCTATGAAGTTCTTCCCCAAGAAAGTTTGAATAAACCGCTGTGCTGTTAACATAATCAGACGACTTGGTTCAATTACAGTCTGGCACTTATGAGCAAGCGGACCTCCAGGCTGCATTATCCATTCTTGCTCTACATCGGCAAAAAACACATCTCCAATAGCAAGAACATCATCATTAGCTGAAAATTTTTCCAATACATCATTAAAAGTCCTTTTCTTCGGTTCTTTGATATCCTCTACCCAAGGCGCCTCAAGCTTACCCGTAGTTATCCCCAAAGCTCTTAACTTTTTAATGTGTTCGTCGTCTACATAACAAGGTTGTGGCGATGAGACGTAACAGATAAACCTATCTATGTGCAAGTGGTTCTTCTTCATCTCAGAGAACTCTTCAAAGGAGACGACAACCTTTCTACCAAAACACTTATTTATGTGATCAATATCAAGAACGCGATTGTATTGGAAATCTACTCTGGCGCTCGGAATTACCAAAATGCGACCAAGAACCGCAGCAAAAAACATGTGTTTCTCCAAACAAATCAAATGGTTCGACATCTGCCCAGACACGCAAATTGCAAGCAAGTACTTGTTCCCCTTGGGCTTCCACTCGATCGTTCTCTCCTCCGACTTCGGTTCCACTTTCCGGCACCTATCAAATCCGTAACCACCGAATTCAGGAACCACATTGCCATCTCCCAACTCCAATAAGTTCCCGATTCGGTGCGAAGACAACAGAGCTTCCTGGATTTCTTTATTCAACTTAATCTGATTAACCACTGCATACCTGAAATCCTCAATTGACGGTATAAGATCCTCCATTTGCAATGTCGAATTCGAATTTGCATTTTTAGTTGAATTGGAGATGATATCCAGTGTAGAATTTGGATTAATTACAGAAATTGATCTGGAATGAATGGATGTAGCGTTCCATAGACTCAGAAGCCCTAATTGCTGCTGCTTCAAGAGATACAAAGCCCGCAACTCGGCCTCTCGCATGCGATCAGTTCCGGAGTCAGCTATTTTCATAGTCGATACGCTACGGAACAGGTTACCGAAGTCGACGGAGAAATAAAGAAAGATCAGAGAAAGCATGAGACAGAAAGCGAGGAGGTATCGCTTACTGAAGCGGAGAGGACGAGCAAGTTGGGTCTTTAGGTGGCCGATCTCGAAGGTAGAGCGTTGGGATTTGGTGTCGGTGGGGTCGATTAGGGCTTCGTGGTCGTCGTCCTCGTCGGAGGAAGGAGAGTCTCTATCTCGCTCCATCTGCGGTGGTGGAGAAAGGACGGGAGAAGGGAGGTGGGGAAGATTGTTTTAAGTGGGTGGTGTGGTTGACAGTGTTAAGAGTGGCAGTGAAATTAAGGTCTTTTGTTCAGAGGCATCACAGAAATTGTTCTATAGTCTGGTTTCGAGTTGTGACTGCCAGCCCGCCCATCTCAGATTCTCAGCTGTGGTTGTTTTTGCTTCCTTTAGAAACGAACCCAGGGACAGAGACAAAAGAACAAAGAGTTGTTATGATGTTACGACTTACGATGAGAAAATGATTGTAACACAATTTTCCTTCCTTTCTCTTGCAGCGGAACGGCCTCTGCAAGCAAAAACTTTGAAAGCATAGTAAACCAGTGCCCCAGCCGCAAATTGGGGACATCTATTTACCTTTGAATTTAGTATACGTATACGGAAGATATTCTTAATGTGCGGCTGGATCATATATGAACAAAGTTTAGGAGATTCACGCTTGAAATCTCATGTTGTAGATCTGCAGTGGAAATCAAAATTCTGTACTTCTCGATAGAAATTACGGCCTATACTATGGATTGAAGATTCCTTTTTTTTCAAATAGAAAAATTATTTAAAACTTATCATAACTTTTCAACATTTTTTTTTAAATTCATCATAACTTTTCAAAATGTCCAATATACCTCATCTAAGCAACTTGAAGTAAAACAGATTAATGGGTTTAGTACGTATTATTATTTTACCCTTTTTATATTTAACTCATTTTTTAATATTTTAGGAATACCCCTGTTATTATTTCACCAAAAACCCATTTTTCAGCTTCTTGAAATACTTTCAAGAACTACAAAGAAAGTAAAGTGTCTCTCAATAAGTAGATGTGGACAATTTCTGTCGATGTGGACAATTTCTGTCGATGTACACCAATGATGCTTTAACGGATGGTGAATTTATATGATATGAGCTCATTGACAAATGGTTGGATCCGGTTAAGTCAAAGTTCATACTATTCCATCTCACCGACAAACCAAATGCCACGGTTATCTGTTTGTTGAAGGGAACATGTTTACAAAAAAAGGTACATATTGTTTTAACTCAGAAAAAAAAAAAAAAAAGCGAAAGCCATTGTAGTAGTCGTGGGTTAAAAAACAGTAAACCACGACCCTTTGATGTATTGATATGGCCCCATTTGTTATTTCACAGTTTTAGCCCAACACTATTTCAAATGGGAATGGTTGATAATTGATATTTTCCAATTTAGTTCTCTTGCCCACAATAATCCTATTCATACGATACTATGGCCCTACATTCGGAACATCTATATAAATGTATTAAGTTAAAATATGTACAAATGAAAGTTTGAGGGTGAAACACATGGAATCTAATTGTAATTTTTTCCATTTTTTTTAGAAATTATAAAATGTCACATAAAGACAAACCCCTTTATGTGATTGAATTGTAATTATCTCTATGTTCTTTGAAAATTACATGATCATCAAAGATAAATCTTCCAATTTATAATTGCCTCTATGGTATTTGAAAATTACAAGACTATTATATATAAGACAAACCTTCTAATTTAATCGACTCTAAAGCATTCAAAAATTATAGAAATGCCACATATAAGACAAATTGACTCTCTTTATAACAATGCCTCTATGATATCTTATTTAGGACTATGCCATCCTACAAAATGAAATGTCATCCGTCTTCTCTCTCCCTTAATAAAATTAAATAAATTATTTTAAATCAATAAAATAAAAGAGAATTGACATTGAGAGAATTAAAGAGAATTGACATTGAGAGAAAGATTTTAATAGACATTTATTTATTTATTTTATTATTATTATCTAAGCATTTATTTAGTTAATAAAAGTAAATAAATTATTTATAACTGAGTAAAATAAAGGAGACTTGACATTGTGAGAAAGATTTTAATAGACATTTATTGATTTATTTTACTAAATTATTTATTTTTTTATTATTATCTAAGTATTTATTTATTTAATAAAATTAAATAAATTATTTATAAATCAATAAAATAAGATAGATTTGACATTGAGAGAAGGACTTTAATAGACACTTATTTAATTATTTATTTATTTTATTAAATTGTTTATTTTATTATTATTATCTAAGCATTTATTTAGTTAATAAAAGTAAATTAACTATTTATAAATCAATAAAATAAAGGAGAGTTGACATTGAGAGAGATTTTAATAGACATTTATTTATTTATTTTACTAAATTATTTATTTATTTAGAAATAATTTACTAACAAATTATTCTCTTCCCTTGAGCCCAATATTTAGGTAGGGTTGTTAATGGGTCGGGTCCAATCCGACAGGTCTGATGGACCCAAACTGATTGGGCCAGTTCTAGTTTTGGGACTTGGAACCAACGGGTCGATTTTGGGTCCTAATATAGGGTCCCAGTTACTATCGGTTTATGATGACGCGCGATGTAATGCTCCCTGTTGGAGGACAGCTCGGACGTTGAACTGAGTAGGTCGCCTGGTCAAGCAGCACAAAGAGAGATCAGAGTGTTCGAGATGCTTTCCCGGTGTGGGCACTCCGATGCTTAAGTTAGTGATGAATGTATAGAGAGCTAGAAAGCGAGATAGTTGGGGCACTCTGAGAGCTAAACCGTGCATACCTTTTCTGAGGAAGGGGATGCCTTTATATAGGCAAGCTGCTGTGAGGTTCACGAAGCGCATCCGATATCTCTAGCCCGTCTGGTTTGGAGGCAGACTCCGCGTAAGTAGGTAGTGTTTATCTAGTTGCGCCCAAAGCGGGCGGGGTGATATCCGGTTCTTCCAATGTGGCGTCGTGATCCCAGGGAAGTCAGAGACAATAACCCTCTTAAGGAGGAGGTTGCCCGGTAGAAGTAGGTCTCCTCTCATGTCGACCTGATGTCTTGCTAGGTGTTAGCACCCATTCTTTGCTCAATCCCTTCACCCCACCTCTTGGTACCCTCCTCTTAGACCCTAGATACTCAGAAACATAACCAGATCAACTCAAGACTTCCCAAAATCCGAAATACCCTCCTCTGGCAAATGGTACTATACATTCCAAGCAAAGGCTTTGCACTACATCAAATTCAACCTTGACTGAAATTCCAGCAGCAAAATTTCCTCCTCTAACCTGTTCTCCCTCACAAAAATCTCAGTGTGCTTCTTTTTCTTTATTGTTCGGTAGCTTACTACCTCCAACAAAGAGGGATAGCTATCAGCATCCAATTTTTGTTAGGTCCCTTCACCCAACCTCTTCGTACCCTCCTTTTAGACCCCAAAACTTGAAATCACAACCAGATCAAATTGAGACTTTACAAAGCCAAAATTTCCTCTTTCAACACAATCCACAAGACAAATGAAAACTTGGAGATCAACATTAATGTCCAATCAAATATGGCCTACAGACTTAGGAAACTATAAAATAGTCACACATCCACCGTTCATCACACCAACTTCCTTTCTAACAGCCCCGATCTATGCAATATCCAAACTCTAACTCCTCCAAAATCAAATCCAACATATCCATCACCCCAAGATCACTAGGAGATAATCAACAAGTGAATCCCACCACCAATCTACAATGATCAACCGCAAAAACCATCAAAGTCCCATTCTAATGGCCCTGAATGATTACCAAGATCAACCATATTTTTCTCAGATCAGAATCATCCACTTGAATCCTCCCCTTAATCCATGCCTACCCACCAAATTGTAGTTCAAAATTCCCCTGTTTAACCCCCCATCAAGCCTACATCCTATTCCAACAAATCTTATTAATTAGACCCTACCAACCATCATCCCAACTTCACGTGACAAACCAAACCTTACCTTTGTGTTCAAAAACCCAAAATACCTCACCATGTCAAATCTCACGACCAAACACTTCCGTTTGACCGTTGAAAAAGTAAAATTCCATTTTAAACCCTCTCGTGATAAAAAAATCATAAGCTATGACCATGATCTGAACTAAATTAGTCAATCTACACCTCTGATCAAAAACCCATCACTTCCATTAGATTCAGGGTGACAAAAAATGCCAACCCACCAAATTTCATCTCAAAATTCTCTCGTTTAATCCTTTATCGAACAAAAATTCTATTTTAGCAAATCTTATTGATCTAAACTTGTCAGCCAGAGATCTTAATCCTCCCGACCCTGTTTGTCCGATCAGACCTCACCACTGTGTTCAAAAACCCAAAAAACCCCATGACACCAAATTTATTCGCACAATTGTCCATTAAACTAGAAAGATATCGTTTCGACACACCAGATTAAATCGCCATGTCATCTGGCCCAACCTGAAGACTTATATGGGTGATAGCTGACGTCAAACTCATTCTTGACCCATTATAACACCTGGACCAATGAAACATAGCCTAATAGGCTTAAAAACCCCAAAATACCAAACAAACCCCTACTTAAAACCAAGAAAAGACAAAACAACTTTAAAAAGTTTATCAAATTTACATTTTCTGCCACTGATAGCCCCTAATACGAGACTGCAGCGTCTGGCACGCCCTCAGCTCCCATTGGCTACACAAAACCCAAGAAAACCACCCCCAAAGTGAAGAAAATGTTTCAGCAAATAAGAAAGCTGATTGGGCACCCATTTCTTTGAAAGAAACTTTCATATTTCAGTAAAAGAACTCTGCTCAGCCACAGACACTGTACCTTAGCAAATTTCAGACTATTTTCTCTATAAATAGAGGCCCAACTCGAGCTTGAGAGGGGGGGACCGGATGAAGAAGAAAGACCTAAAAGAGGGGGAACCGGATGAAGAAAAGAGACTTGAAAGAGAGGAGACCTAGAGGGAGAAAGAGAGAGAGAGAGAGAGAGAGAAAATGGAGCTTTCTTCCAACCCACACTGCCTCTTGTTCACCTAAAACTCGGAAGTAATCTAAACCCCATATTCAAAATTCGCCTCATCCATTTTCAAGTGGAAGTTGCCACAATTGAAAGCACTCCTTAGCTCAAGAACCCATTCAAGTTTCGTTCTACCTCATTTCGAACTATTGGAAAACTCCCATCAAGGCACATACAGAAGGTAAGTCTTTTTTTTTTTAGTTTTTCTGGGTTGCTTGAGGTTCTGAAATGGTGGAGAACCATTGCTTGCAATTTCTTCTTAACTAAGAGTAGAGGTAGAGAGGCAAGGGTCTTAGGGAAATCAGTACCTAAGACCTGATAACATCACCTCAAAATCGCTCTTAGGAGGAGTTGAAAGTATGTTCCTCCAGATTTAAGAAACTCTTGCAACCATTTTTGTTTTCTCTAAAAGAAACTGAGCCTGGACAACTCCCGTTTTGGGCTGCAACAGCAGCTTTGAGAGAGGGGTGCCTAACACCTTCCCTCTCCCAATTCTTGGGACCCGAATCTCCTTTCCCATGGAGGATGGAGTCATTATCAAAAACCTGAAATCAATATTTTCAAACCTGAAATGAGGGCCCATTTCCTCTGAAAAATGGGTGGTGACTCCAATTCTTTTGAGCCGACCATGAGCTTCCCGGAGCTTACACTAGGCTAGTTCTCAATCCGGTCTACCAAGATGGTGTCGATGTCGTCAGGTGGGTTCAAGGTGTTTGAGGTGCTTCCATGGCTTACTTACGTAGTGCTAAGATGTCGTCTAACTATGTCACGGTGCCACATGTCCTCATGTCACTAGAGGGCCAGATCGCTCCTCATCAATTTAGAATATATATAATATTAAATAAATAAATTATATATACTATACATATAATATATAGAGAATATTTAATATATATTATACACAACTATTTGTTTTTTATTTATTATAATCGGGTCTGTCAGGTTAGACCTGATTGTCTCGAGAACTGATTGATTTGGTTTCGATCCAAAAATTACAAACCCTATCAGGTCCAGGTCCATATCCGAGTCCTCAACATTTCATGTTGGGTCGGTTCCTGTTCCAACTAGTTCTAACCCAGACTCGACTTGTTGATAGTCCTATATTTAGGGCTATGAATAGGTAGGTTTGAGCCTAATATTTAGGGGGGGGGGCAAAATGTAAGTGGAATGGGAGGTTAATTTTGATAATAAGGAGATCAAAAGAAGCAAGCAACAAAACACAAACAAAAGAAGCCAAACCAAAGCCAAGAGGAAGAACAAGAAAGGGAACAAAACAAGGACTCAAAGGATAAAACAAGAAACGCCTGAAGCCACAAGTGGGGGATCAAAGTAGTGTAGTTGCTGGAGGCTGCTTTGTGAACTTGATCAAACTCGATGAGCCAGCGAGTAGGTTGGACTATAACTTATAAGACTAGTGGGACCTGTGCGATGCACGTGATTTATCAAGGAAAAGTGAAACAATGGAAACTGATAATTATATTAATAATTTTAGTAATTGTTATAACAATAACTTAATAATTTAGATTAATTATATTAATATTTTTTAATAAAATAATAAATTATTGCTAATTACTCAATAAATAATAATTTTTTTCATTTTATCCGTTACTGTTTTATTTTATTTATTTATTTTATTAATCAATGAATTTTATAATTAAACTAATCTATAGATTAACTTTTTTGTCATTATTAAATTAATCTAAGTCCAAGCTTAAGGTTTAAGACTGTAAAACAAATCCCCATCCCCATCTCCGTCCCCATCCTTGATTGGGTATCATTATCAATCCCTATCTTTGCCAAGGCAATATCCATCCTTAGCCCCATTGAGTGGAGAAGCTGAGTACCCGATGGGATAGGGAACATTGCCAATCCTATTCATAACCRAATCCTATTAATTGGTTAATCGTCATAAAATTGTAATTTGAAACATAATAAATAAAACTAAACTTTAGCAAGTTTATATAGCAACTATAAAAGATTAAGAAGTTAATAAAAAATAGTAATTCATAAACTAATAATAATAAGTAAAAATAATATTAAAAATAATAAAATAAACCACTTACATTCCATATAAAAACTATAAAATCTAACTAAAAACTAATAATGACCTTATTATAAATGTCTTAAGACTTCTATTTGGGGATAATTATTTATAACTTAGCCTAAACCTGGTTAAACCAACAAATTTTCGAGCTCAAGCAATTGTTTTCTTTTGAGCTAGGTCTAACTCAGATCCGCACCAACCCCACACAATGTAGATAGTATGATAGTAAATGGTTTGGATTCAGATTTGAACCCACTTGCTTTAATTTGGTTTCAATTATCAGTTTTCAAAAAACCAATACTACCGATTCAGTTTGGAAATTAAGTCAGTTTGGTTAACCAAACTATGAGCATCCCTAGTGATGAGCTAGTGTCGTTTTTCAAATAAGCAGCATAGAACCTAACACCATTGAACAAGTCCTATTAGGGTTCGTAGATGAGATCTACTCACAATAAAAAAATGTTCTAATTATGTCCAAACATCACAAACCTGCCAACAAAACACGTTACAACACCCCCAACATGATCTAACACGCACATCTTATCCATGGAGGGTCCTAGTCTCATTGTAAAATGTGCGGTGTCAGAACAACAAAGTAGGTGATCCCAACTCAGCTCTACAAGATCAACAAAGTAAGTGCTTGGCATCGGTGTCAAGGGTGTCAACGGTATTCAAAAATTAGATTTTAAATTCGAGATTCAATATAATTGAATCGAATTTGGATAATTCGAATATCTAACCGGTCGAATTCAGATATGACCTGATTCGATTTGATAAATATCCAAATTTGACTGATTATTTAATTCTTATATATAATATATAAAAATTTTAAATGTTTATATAATTTATGTATATAATAATTAAATTATATAAATAATTTATATATTTATATACTTTATATAAATAAAATATTTATTTTATATATTTATTAATTACCTAAAATAATTAATTAGTCAAATTCGAATCAAATATTTGAATATTTAATCGGATTTGAATTTGAATATTAATTTTCAATGTCCGTCAGATATCAAATCGAATTCGGATATCGAATTTTTTAATCAAATTCGAATTCGGATATTGCCTGATCCGATTTGAATTCAACCCGTTTACACCCCTAATCGCTATTGGGAAGAAACAATATCGTGTTATGTTTGAGAAAACGATGCTGCCACATAGGCTGTTTTATGGGAAAAAGCACTAATTTTGTTTGATACCTGTGTTGTAGAACCATTTTTAACATTGGTCTATATCATCCAAGATAATGCCACATCACTGCACCACTAGTAGCACCGACTGTTTTCTAAGAAAATATTAAATTTGACATTTCTTTAGACCACACTTTCCTGATTTCCAAGACATTATCTGAAGGAATGTTTTTTTCTAGAAAAACAACACCAAACAAGAGGCTGTTTTCTTAAGCATGCTTTTTTCTGATTTTGCACCTACATGGTGCCATTTTCTCATAACGGCGTCGATGAATGCCAAACACCGCCAAAAATTAGGCCATGAAAAAAGATTACTAAAAATTATAAAAAGTTTACTCATGCTTTTGAATAATAAAAAAACTCGGGTAGATAAATATCTGACACTTTCTATTATAAATAAGGCATTAAATTGATCCTGTTCAGATGATCAAGAGGGACATCTACAGCCACTACAATCGCAGTATTCATGCATTTCACCAGAATCGATCGGCAGGAACTACCCACCCCCCAACCCCGACAAAAAGACACAATCGAAAACCATCGATCAACACACTATATATACTAGCATATCGTCAACAGTGGCAACAGTTTATCCCTCAAAAAACGATAAATTGATTTCTATGACTAGAATACATAAAACCTGCATCAGAGGCTTCATACTCAGTTGACCCTTTTACTAATCCCCTTATGCCACTTCAACCAGTCTTCCAGATACCCACTTCTTCTTAGTGGTCAATGTAGACGAAGATGCCTGAGAATCACCTGCCTGTGTTTCAACTCCATTGTACGGTGGCATTCTTTGGCTTTCCATAACCCCGTTTTTTTCAAGCTGATCTCTTGGATTCAACTGCTCTTTACAATTTTCAGGCTGCAAAGAAAATGACTTGTAGCAATCAAAGCTTGTATTCCTGCTTGAAACGGGGGAAAGAGTCTCCCTGACGTTCATCAAGTCCTGTGGGGTGAACTTGCTGAAATGGAAGTCCTCATTTGACAGGACATGACTGCCATTTACTTCTCTCTTATCCAGAGGCGTGTGACCATTTTCTGTGTCTATTTGCTTCTCAAAATGGTTTATAAATCCATTCAACTTGGAGGAAGAATAGCTGTCATTCTTGCTCTCTTGAGATGCGACTTGATCCATCTCTATGTCCCTGAGCGACCGAGTTGCTTCAGCTATAAGCCTCCTGGTTTCCATAAGAGAAGCTTGGGCAAGTGGGCTCCTTGTAGCAGCCACCTCAAGGGTCTTAGCAGCTTTTTCAGCTTCAGCAATCAACAGCCTGCAGAAATAAAAACGAGTCATGTGAGATGAGAAGTCTTCTTTTATAGGGGTTAATCTTAATATTCAAATATCACCGCCCTTTAGAAGGTCTTATCACGATCCTGCTTTTCTTTCTTAGCCAATCAATTCTACACATTTTTTACAAGGTATCCTAATGGACTGAAGCCTTCTCAAGCCCAAATCAGTTTCCAGAGATACTTTTCATCCTGGACTCTAAGGCGTGGACAAGTCAACTTCATTGACTGTTCTAGAAGGTCTTCAGTGTGAGAGAGATGACAACAGATTGCAGAGGGAGAACAAGACCCAAAAATAAGAAAAAAGAAGTGTGCCTGAGAATACATCCTGATTTCCCCAAAGACCATGGATTGTCAGATCAACTCTGTACTTATGTAAGTACACTATGCATGTATTCCTATGTATAATGTATTCATATGTATATGCATCTTACTTTGCCCGTTCGATGGCTTCTCTTTTCTTGGTCTCCATGGATGCCCTTTGTGCTCTGATCTTCTTTATCATCTCTAGCTTGGAATTAGCTAATGGATCTTTGTAAGATGGCACACTCTTTCTCTTTGTCTTGAACTTGACTTGATTTTTAGGTTCACCCTCAGCACCATTAGCCTCGCCAACTTTCTTATTCACAGATCTCCTTACAGATGCCTCACCACTTGGCCTTCTCCTTGGCTTTCTTACAACTCCACCAGGTGTGCCATGGTACTTAGCCAGTGCAGAGCATACACGCTCGCGATATCCCTGTGGAACAATAATATTCTAAAAATGCATTTGTGGAACAAAAAGATGGAGTAGGACTCCTCAAAGTTGATTACCAGATACCAGAACAAGTAAACTTCATTAAAAATGCAACAAGGTGAAAAGTACAACCCTGGTTGCATCTTTTGAGAGGCTAACCATATATATCAATCTCAATTTGTACAAAGGAGCATTTTTAGTATGAAGTTCAAACATCTAACAATGGGGGCATTATTGATATTTCTTCCCAGTCTGTCAATGTTAATGACTGGATGCTTTGAAAGGGATCTTTAAAGATTAGGATGAAACAGAGAAGAGGTTTTCGTGCTTATATGAGACCTCAGGGGAGGTTTAAGTATTAATATTTTCAAGTAATCATGTGTTTCTGATCCTATACGATCACCTAATATTGGACATAATTGATGTTGTATTAAAGCAAATCGCCCTTAAATACCAAGAGCCTAAGAGTGTGAGAACACAGGTTCAAGTCTGAGAGCAGTCACTTTGTGCAAAAAAAATGCCAAAGGTTAGGACCATACCCAGTCTACCCCTCCCAAGATCCCAGATAGCTAAGACCAACATTGGGTAATGGCCTTTCTTTACATTGGTATACACTCAGACCTTCTCTAGACTCCTAGATTTCCTAAAAGAATACTTTGAAAATGCTTCTTCAGGATAGAACTAGATGCCCTTACAGGATCAGCCCATTTAGCGGAAATAGCCTCAGATATCTTCCTCCGTTGCTCAGAAGACTTTGGTGCTCTTTTGCTACCTTTTGCTCTCGGCATTGATTTCCTCTGCTCGATGCTTTCCAACCACTCCTTCTGAAGTTCCTCGTCTATGATCATATATGAATCCCACTGCAGCTCATCTTGACCAGCACAACCTCTTCTTGAAGCTTCTGCAATCAAGTTCTGCCACTCAAAATAGCAGGTCTCCTGCACCATCAGCTTCTCACGGCGCCGTTGCCAACCCATTCGCACACCAACTCCAATTTTTATTCTCGTCTCCTCACTAGATGTCAATATAGAAAAATAGCAATTGATATTTTGCTTAGAAGCTTGGGAAAGCATAAATAAATGTTAAAAGCTAAAACATTCCATCCGATTTGATGAGACCAAGTACAAGTCAACAAGTGACTATTGTCTGTTTTATATCGATAACAAGTAACTATTGTCTGTTTTTGATCGATAACAAGTAACTATTGTCTGTTTTTGATCGATAACAAGTAACTATTGTCTTCGTTTGTGATATACCATTTACACTGCTACAGTGCCACTAGACCTGTTCATGGACTGCATTTGGGCTTAGCTTTTGCCAAAATTTTAATGGGCCCGGACCAAAGCCCAAGCYTGAAGCCTGGCCCGTGAACAGGTTTAAGTGCCCAACAACAAATGGATCACCTCTTGGATGGATGGACACAATCAAGTAACCTTGAACAGCATCTAAGATTTGTATCCACCCAATGCATTGGCTTTCTCAGAGAATTTAGCTGTTTGACTTAGCAATCTAACTTTTTTGACCCTTGATCTCTTAAAAACAATAAAGATTTTGGGCCATGCCCACATCCAAGAGGTGGTTACAAACCTCGGGGAAAGAAGCGAATTCTGAAAAAGAAGACAAAACCTTTTTGTTCTTCAATAGATACAAGAAGTCAAGGAAATAAAATGCAAGAAAATAGATTCTGCCAACAGTCACATTGAATGGTAACTTATAAGAACCTTTTATTATGCTTTGGAAACTTCTAAATTATAAGACAAAAAACAAAACAGAAGATTTAGAGTTCTCTTGATGCAAAGTCTATAGACAATGGACAATAAAGCAGACTTCCACCAACAGAGAGAAGAATACTGGTAGAAAAGGAAAGGAGGTCAAATCGAGATCATAAGCACAAAGCCGCAGAATGATGCAGGACCTACCTTTGAGCATGCCCCAAGTTAACTAGCTTCATCTTAACCTGCATGTTCAAATCAGTCATGAGAGAATTGAAAAGTTCAAATAACCAAAAACCCATTAGGAATATTAAAATTTGTCTTGACGTAAAAGATATGTCAGTGACAAAAATAATTGCATTAAGCACACAAAGATTATACATGAAAATTGTACAAATATAAGATGCCATTTCGATTTGGGGATGCTTCACTTTTGTTCTTATATAAGTTACTGCTTACATTAAGCACTTCTAAGTTAACCAATAGCGCAAGTGTTTCATGCTCATTAAAAATTTTGAGCTAACATGCGAAAAAGAAAATCAAGGTATGTCATTAATTGTGTTGATGAAACCTCCTAAATGATTATAGTGCCCCTAATTCTAATAAAAGTTTTGTAAATGACTACATGTCCCTTCAATGAAATTTTTTAATTCTGTGACTTGCCATTCACAAGTGATGTCCTTATTCTAGAATGAGTAGATTATGCCTACATGCTCAGACTCTATTTTTCAAATTAAAAAGAAAAATTCAATCCAATATCCATCAAGTGCATTTCCCCAAAGATTGTTTTAGTCCTAAATTAGTAACAATATACATGACCTAGCTCAAATTGGACAGTAAGATTGTTAACATCCAGCAGCAAAACTCAATCTGGAACAGGCTAGCAAAGTATATATGTAGTTATGAACACATTATATATCTATGAATGTACTTCTGTYCCATTGGCCACCCATAGTCCAGGATTAGTGATAAATGGTGTATGATTGTATTACCATAGATGTAGCCCAGGAATAATTGGCAAAACTTTGTAGGAATATTATTGTGATGGTGAAATATATTAAAAAACGAAGAGGAAAAAAAGGAGAACATCTTGATGGTTCTTGACATCCTGGGTGGGACTCATAACATTGTTCAGTAATGAGAACCCATATGGCATGTTGCCCACAATTATTCAGCATGGCAAAATATACAAAAAAAAAGGCATAATATGATCATGATCATGAAATTTTATTCTCCTTTTAACAGCTGGCATCTACATGGTACAAATGTATATCTGATCTCTAATATTCAATTGGTTGGCCAAACTAAAGCTGTGGCATGGGTGAAATGGTGTTTTCCTTGGCACTACTTGGACAATTCATTAGTATTATTTGATGGTTAAGAGTTTTAAGATTGCCATTTGATAACAACTGAACTGCTTGAACAATATGACTTATTGTTTTGTCTTTTAGTGGATAAATTAATTAAATAATAAAATATTTGAGGGCATAGAAATCAACCTAACTTCAGCTTCGGCCATCAAGGAGTTCATATCCTTCTTCATAACTTAGTCTAAGTTTGGGAGTGCTTATTTGAAAATAAGTGTTTATTCTAATAAACACCCGTGAGCGTCTGGTGAAAAGACACTTATTTCAAACAGGGGTAGTATAGGTATTTTCAAAATGACATGGCAGGCCAAGACAGGCCAGAAAGGAAATAAGCACTTAAAAAAACCAATTTTGGGCTTATTTTTAAGTGCTTATTCTCAGGAATAAGCACTTATTTGGGCTTATTTCCCAAATGCAAATGAGTGCTTATTTTTAAGCACTCCCAAAGTTAGCCTTATTCACTAGAAGTCTAGAAGACAAAGCAATAAGTCATTCAGTTCAGCTACTTCAACTGTTATCAAATGACGCCTTAGTAGGGACTACAAACTTAAAACTCCAGACATCCACTTTCTTTCTTGACACGTTGAGAGCAGATAAGAGACGCAAAACAGAATTTTAGTCGAGGATCCATTATTAAATATGTGGAAATGGCACTAAACAGAACAGACTAGCAAAACAGGATTGATGTAGCTGACCCCATATAGTTGGGATAAAGCTTGGATGACGATGGTTATGATTTTCGGTAATAAACAAAAAAAAGAAAAGTTTTATTAAAGAAGAAGGTACAAAGAAGATGATAGGATATCACCCATAAGAAGATAAAAACATCAACACCCACTATTAAAAGCAAGTGTTAGGTAGAGCATGGAAACTAATTTGATGCCATTCAAAGTGAAAAATGTCAAATTATTCTTACATGACATCACCTTGGGATCCTGCATTGCAATTTTAGTTCTCTCTCTTATCCGCCGCAGGGTCTCTGCACATAATTTGAGTGTGTTAGTTTGTGAAAATAAGGTAAAATAGAAAGTGTGCCTAATGCATATAAAAATCTAATGCAGAAGCATCTTAAGTTGCACACCTGCACTATGTTTCCTGCCTTTGTTCCACGGGACATTTCCCTTATTTGCTTTGGAGATTCTCATTCGCCTTAACCTCTCTCTCTCATCCATTTCCGTGGAGTCCACACCAGGAGGCTGAACCACTTGGGGCTCCAAATCAAGAGCTGACTGCAAATTGCGATCATCATCCTGTCCGCCTTCATCATGCACCAAATATTTAGTTTCAAGTGTGGCAACTGCTTTGATCAGGATAATGCCATGCATATTGTGATGCCCAACATTAAAGTTCACTTTCCTTGGCACCTCAATCGATACTTTCCATGGAGAGGCCAATCTCTTCTCATTTCCAAAAGCAAATCTTCTTGATCTGCTACCATGAAATAGGGGATGAACCCTCAATATGCCTAGGTGACTTTGGAAAGCAGGTTTTGAAGTAGCAATATCTGCGAAAGAAATAGCTTAATAGTTAAAAAATGCAAGTATTAGTAGAAGCATAGTGAGCAGAACTGCAACAACAGGAGGTCTTGCTGAACGGTGAAATAAACATGATAGACCACATGCAATGAATAGAGATATCATTGTAGGCATATGTTTGATACGTGAAATTCATGCAATCTTAACTTTCTGGCAATGAAACTGCAATATAACTCTTGAGGGTTAATTTAGTATGTTGCTTTTCCAACAATGGGGATTTTAAATTGAAGAGACATTAGGGATATAAACAGAGTTTCCACCAAAACTAATTAAAGAACTTGGCAGTCATCAACCTTCAAGGTCCTCAACTGAACATACGTAAAAGTAACCCAACCAAACAATAGATAAGAGTTTAGCATGCTTCCTTCCCATACCCAGGCACAGAATTTCTAACCAAATCGTTGTAAAAAAGAATCATACTAAAAATAACATAAGTTAATTTAACAGAGAAAGAAAAGGTGCCAGATTAAAAAAACCTTTCTTGTTAGAAAGCCCAAGATGTACGAATTGGGAACAATCATGCCTTTTCAAACTTAGTCCCCAACCGCAACCAACTCAAAAATAAAATGGCATGTGTATTACTTAATATCTGGAGAAGCCCCACCAATATGTCAACCCCAAAATCTGCTCTTTCAACTCAATACCCCCCGAAAAGCACCTAGGAGTCTAGATTCTGCTAAGAAATGGATAACTTATTTTGAGACGCCCGAGTACCACGTAGCAACAAACTGGTTCAGAACACAAAAAGATATAAGAAAACAAGATAAAACTAAAAACAAAAATAAGGAGATGAAGCAGGAAACGACTCGAAAACCCCTACAAACATATAAGCCTACTAGAGGCAAAGTACTGATTAGCGAGAAATAGATGAGCGCCACAAATTCAGCGGTGAGACAGAAACCCCCATATTGTAACTAACTCAAGCAAATCAACCATACCATATTTTCAAAGGATGTAATTTCTTTTTTCCCTTTCAGAAACCTAAATGAGCATTCTGGGTCGTCTAAAAAAAGCATACGCTTGTTCTCAATTATAGACAATATGACTACCGATGTGCCATGAACCAACGTTACTGCAAACTCCGTCAAAACTGTAATAAACATGACAAGAAATAACAAAAAGGGACTCACAAGGTGGAGATACAGAAGTACCAAATAAAGGCATGAGAGCTCATTCAGATTGAGATATACACAGCTTGTTCAGAACCCATTAAAGGGCTCTTAGTCCTTCGAGAAGATAAAATCTAGATTTGAAACGGAGATAAAGTAGAGAGTGAGAGAACAGGAGGCTTGGACGGAGCAGAGTAAGAACTAAGAGGTGAAGCAAAACGGACAGAGTAATGACCACACACCGTCCAAATAAACCGGGATAACGAAATATCATTGAGGCTGGCGTCTACCTATTAGCAGCAGTCTGGAACAAACGCAAGGGCAAAAATTATGATATTTTTAAAAGGATATTTGAAAAGACATTGATAGCCTTCATATGGACGCGTGTAAACTGTAAAAGGAAAAGGCGAGAGTGAGAGTCTGAGAGATAGCAAGATCAAAATGATTGGGGGGACAAATTTTTTAAGTAATCCTAATTTATAGGAAATGGAATAACTCTACCCTATATTCCTAAGTTTTTTTTTTATAATTGACTAAAACCAATATTACCTCTTTTGGTCAATTTTATCTTTCATTATTCTTTAAATTATTAAAATAAAATTCTTAACATCCATCTTGAATAAGAACACAACTTTCAACCGTTGAAAGTCAAAAACACATATGGACATGGAGGTAGCTGAGTTAAGATGACATCCTCGAAATTAGGGTTGTGTAAAATTTGCACCCGATTCAATTATTGGAAATTTGCATTCGAATACGATTGGATTTGAAGAACTCATATTTGAATTTGAATCCTAACGTACTCATATTGGATTCCGATTTAATGCTTTAATTTTTTTAAATATCAAAAAAATTAAAAATTTAATTATTTTTCAAATAYTAAATTAATGYAAATATAACATACTGAATTTATTATATATATAAATTTATATATAATATAATAAATAGAATACATTTTTTTTATAATTTTAAATAATTTATATAAAATATATTAAAATCAATAAATATTATAATATAATAGGCTTTAGATTTTAATCAGATCGGATGGGGCAAAATCCAAATCCAATCTAATTATTAATCGAATATAGATTGTAATATCCAAATCTAATCCGACTATATAAATACATCATCTAAATCCAAGATAACCGAACCCAAATGTCAGATTGGGCCTCGGATTTTCGGATATCATTGATAAGCCTACTCAAAATCTAGTTTTTGGGTGGGAGATTATCCCTCCTATTCACTTGCCCAAAGTCTTTGCAATGTAAGGGATTATGACGGTTGATTTAGTTGTGTCTACAAGGTAAGGGATTATGGAACATCATAAAAAACTAGAACTCAAATATGTAGATGAAATTAAATCAGAAGAAAAACCAGCCTTTTAGTTTTCACAGCAATATTGATCTGCTAGTGTGGATGAAAATGCTTATGGCTGCGTTTGGAATCAGTGTAACTGATGGCGTTTTACACTGAACCGTCATTAAGTGACTATTGTATTTTTTGAAAAACATGATGCAATCAATGTAAAGTTTTACATCGATTTTATCGATGTAGTATTTGCATCGATAATCAATGTAAAACTTTACATATAATGAGGTTTTACACTGATTTATAATATAAAACTCCACTCCATCCAAACGTGCACAAAACTGAACCGATATAAATGTTTATATCATTCTTGATTTACACCAATTCCAAATGCAACCTATAAGACAAGCCCTTCAGATTCATGGCAGAGATTTAAATGCCAACTACCAATCAAATGCTATGACCTTTACGCTCCTCAACCTCTCCAGCTATCCTCTTATCTTTGTTCTCACTTAATGATTTGATTCAAATCCATATAAATATCTACCCTCTAGGATTAGAGTTATATATATTGACAATCATTTAGCTGGTTTTTTTTTTCATGTAAGAAGGTTGAGATTTGGCTATAATTAAAATTGAGTTTATGAAATTCGTCTTATGTGTTAACTACCAGAAGAGTGATTTGGATTTCTAAGGTGTGTTGATATTGGGACCCAAAATTGAAGAAGAAACGAACAAGGAGATGAGCTGTGGCTATTCAAGTTTTAGGGGGAAGAGAGCTAGCATGGAGGACTTATGATGTTAAGATGTCAAAGATTGGTGGAAAATGTATGTGTGTTTGGGATATTTGATGGTCACGGTGGTTCCCGTGCTGTTGAGTTCTTGAAGGAACACCTTTTTGAGAATAATCTCATGAGGAATCCACGGTTCATGACTGATACCAAATTGGCTATAAGTGAATCATACAAAGAGACTGATATGGACTTCTTGGAAGCTGAAAGCAATACTTGCAAGGATGATGATTCTACAACCTCAGTAGCAGGTTTACCATTTATATGTTGCAAATGTTGGAAACTCACGAGCAGTGATATCAGAAGCAGGAAAAACTATACCTCTATCTAAAGATCATAAATCAAATCGAACTGATGATCGAAAGAGAATTAAAAGCACTGGAGGAGTTGTTATGTGGACAAGAACATGGAGAGTTGGAGGGGTGTTGGCAATGTCCTGAGCTTTTGGTGACCGCTTATTGAAGTTGTTTATAGTGGTAGAACTTAAGATTCAGGAACAAGAGATAGATAATAAATTTGAACAAGCAAGGAGCTATTGGTGTAAATCAAATGGTTGAAATCGCTTAATCAAAATCACTTTTATTTAATGTTCAGAGTGGTCAGTCATATCAAGGAGCATTGTATTGAAGTTGTTTGTAGTGGTAGAACTTGAGATTCAGGAACAAGGGATAGATGATAAATTTGAACAAACAAGGAGCTATTGGTGTAAAATCAAATGGTTGAATCACTTATATTTAACGTTCAGAGTGGTCGGTCATTCAAGGAGCATTAATTTCAAATTTTCAATGCAATCTCGGCAATGGTATTTGTTCTTTTGTTAGGAATTTATATTTTTGTTATTCAAATGTTTCATTTTGAAAATTTAAAGAAAAATGATKGATAAAATAGTAYTTTCATCTCCTGTTAACAAGCACTAATGATATGGGAGGATTTAATTAATTGTCAAAAAACTCAGAATACTTTAAGACAATTCCTAAACAGTAGAGATGAATAAGTAAATTTTCAGAAGCTCCCATGAAGTTTATGTGTATGGCACATAACTCCCTGGTGAGTGGTGAGTGGTGGCATCTAGACTCCTTTTGTTATATTGCTTAAAGAATAAGGGAAAGTGTTGGATGTCATGTTCTCAACATTTTCAAATACTAAGATTGTCATTACTTTCGTTGCCAACATTGGCTTTGAAGGTCATGGTTGTGGTTTTGTAAATTTTCCCATTATGTCCCTTCTCTGACCTTTTCAAACTCCTCGATCGAGTCAAAGCTAGGAAGCATGCATGGATAGGGGGCCAAAAGCTAAGAGGAATTTAAATGGGTATTATGGGGATTTTCAAGGCATAGGGATTAGGGAGGACCATAGCTCCCCTCTGCCACCCCTGGCGAAGGCACCACCCTTGTCGAGACTCGAGAGCACCTAATGGAAGATTTCTGGTTTCTTCTAAATATTGATTCATTCTAGTTGTTATGCAGAAAGGAAACCAGTAAGCTGCAAAATGTCATTGAACAAGAACCAAATATATATTAGAGGGAATGACATGAAATCTGGCACTCAACGCTCGCATCAGTGCTTGGTTATCACTATAAATTAAGTATAAACTACTACCGATCGACTTTGGATATCAGACAGAGAGAAAGCAGTCAGAAATTAAGATAAACACCATCCTGGTCCATATATGAGGATTGAGCAAAACATGCGTGGTCAGATCTGTCCTAAACTGAAGGATACCTACACCTACAGAGTGGAGGTGGGATCGAGTGCCGAGTGGTGGTTCTGGTTCCCCACCGCTGCCTATCCTAAACTTCTTGATAGCTAGAGCCTACAAGCAAAGTTCATAGTCGATCTCTAAGGGACTGCAATATTTATTTTCAACAACTTTTAATTTGTTGTTACATCGATCGATCTAAGCCAAATATATATACCAACACAAGGTAGCAAAAAGAGCTTAGATTCTTTTGGATTCTTGATTAATTGCAGATGGATGCATCAGCATTTAACCAGCTGGAGATCCAATCTAAAACAGACTTAGGCTCTCCATCGATCATCCATTCTAAGACCCAGTGGAGATCTAAGCAAACCAATTGGGCTTGACGGTGGGGCATGCAGTACGACAACAGAGCATGATTAACTGATTCAATACCATTCATGCTCACAAAGAGCGTAGAGATTTTCCAAAATTGGGATTCTATTTGCCAGTTTAACCATGACAGCTGGAAGGTTGTTATAACTTATGAGCGGCTTTCAGAAGAATGATTTAACCTTTGGAGGGATCTGAACTGAAGATGCCAAAGATGAACCAAATAGGTCTCTTCCCCAGCCACTCACACTAGAAAGGCCATCATCCATTGCATTCTTTTGCACTCTATAGAACAGAGAAACCACCGTTCCTATCGTAGACCCATGCAGTACACCTTATCCTCTTGATCCGAGATATGAGGGTATAATTTGTAGATTAAGACGGTTTAACTGTTCGATTTGAAATTTTAAATGAATGGCCCATTTTGATGAAAATTTTTAAAAATTTTAAAAATAATTAAAATAAAAAATAGCCAAAAACCATCAACGATTTAACCACCCAAATTAATGAATTATTGACCAATTCAACAGTTTTTGACTAAAGATTGTCTGGATGGTTTTCTGTTGGAATAATCCGACCGTCCAGGTCAATGGGGATTCAAAATTGCACGTAAGAGTATGAGTTATTGGATGTAAATAGAGCCCACTTTAGAGGGTTTATGCAGTAATTGAACTGCGCTGACTGAATTGCTTCTGAGAAGCTATTAATCATAATTTTATCAAAAAAAATGAKTTTTGAACTCATAAACCTATTTTTGATTTTTCAGATTTTTATGAAATAGGATTTCACAACTTTCCGGGTTTCATGAGTCATGCGCGACACCAGACGCCACTTTCTCAAAGCCCTCCAAAACAAGCATTTAGGTATGGTACGTCGTTATCATGAGGGGGGATAATTGTAATCAAGTCAAATTTCTTTTGACCAACCAGACAAACCCACAAACGCCCTCAGCATCCAAAGTTTTCTCGCTACTTAGTAGCAATCCTTCCTCAGCAGCACAAGTCTTGTGCGCCATTTGCCCCTTTTCTTATTTTTTTAGTGGTTATTTCCTAAAAGAGAAAAAAAAAGGTAATAGTATTAAAAAGAGGTCCAAGACGTAAGACGAAAATGATTTAAATTAATCAATTTTAATAGTCATTCGTTTTGCATATTATTAGTGTGTTCTTTATTTTATTCAAAAAAGATTTTTTAGAAGGTTTCTTGGGCTCAGTTTGGAAGGAATATAAATACAAATAGATAAAAATACAAGGCTTTGCACTCTATATATTTGTATTTATGCTACTTTCAACTGAGTCTTAGGGGCAAATTTACTTACCAACAAACACGATTTACATCTCTTGTATAATAGTATCAATCAAAAAAATCATGAGTTAATTGCATGCCTTGTTTTGACTTGTGAGATGCTAGGCTACAACTGAAATAGCTAGGGTAGACATCGAAAAATAATTCTAATTAATATACAGATGGAACAGGGTTGATATGGATATTGTAGGATATACATGGCCAATATAGGATATCATGTAATCATCTAGTTTGTTCAGTAATTCTCTAATTTCATCCCTGTACATCTTATCTTTCCAATTACAGTGTAAGAAGGGATGATTCAGGATGTTAACTATGTATGTATAATGGCATCACTCTGCAAATCAAGAAGTGGTTGATGTTTCGATTAAGAGCTTCCCTTAATCCCTGTAAAATGGCATGTCATTCAGCTTCAGTTGCACTTTGAGCTTGAGATATGTACACTCTAGCTGCTTGCACCCTGCATTCATTATGAATCACAACATAACCTAAAGCAGCTATAGAATTATGCTTAGTATATGTTCCATCTACATATACATAAAACTTCATGTTACAATCACTGATGTGACTAGTGTTTGATTGTTGTGATTTCTCCCTCGGTTCACTTGAGAACACATATTTGTCCAATGAGTTTACTTTACTTTATGTAAAGGGTGTGAGTATACAAGGATCTAAGGGGAACTAGAGCATAACACTTGTTGCCTTGCGACAAACTCATCTCATGGACCACAGCATGAATAGCCCTGTTAGCAGTTCGGGGAACATGGCGGAACTCAATGCGGGAGAAGTGCGATGCTAGGTCCAAGACGTCCATAAAGATGTGTGCAAAAGGAGCAAACAGGTTTCGTTCGATTGCATTGCAGGCATCCAATTTGTATACCTGAGACTGAGAGTCATATTCCCCACCTGAATCTCAAGTAAGCCAATATTTATACTTGCAAGTTGCAAAATCACATTTCCTGCGTCGCAAGACAATTTGGAGACCCCTCAATAAAATGTGAATACAAAAAACAAAGGGTAAATTATAAAGACCCCTTTATTTATGGGGTCAATGATAAACACCCCCTGAATTTTCATTTGCCACAAAAACCCTCCTCCTGAACTTTTACCTTGCCATAAATACCCGTTGACCAATAACCTAGACGATGGAATGCATTAAATTACCAAAATGCTCATCTGAACTTTCTTTGTTTTCTTTTCCTCATCCTTTTCTCTTAAACCCTATTTGACCAAAAATACCTCTATTTTCTCCAAATAGAACTAGTTAAAAATAACAAAAATCATTTCATTGGCATTGAATAAAGTTTTTTTTTTTTAATTATTGATTCATTTCTTTGACATGAATGTCTCTTCATTTTAAAATATAAAAATTATCCACTCCTTTCTCCAATAAATCAAGAAAACCAAATGAAACCATAAATTTATATCTAACAAGAATAAGCCTGTAACATCATTTGAATATTGAATCCAACCAGAAATCTGCAAGGGATCTATTGGAGCAATTGAGAGGACTTCAATGTTATATTTAGAAAATTAATTGAATCATTAGACATTCAAATAAATAAGAAAAAGGTCATTTGGGGATTTAAAAATTTTAAATAATTGAGTGAGAATAATTTTTGAAATTAACTAATGCAACTCTAACGAAGGGGTATTTACTGCAAAGTGAAAGTTCAAGGGGTTTTTGTCCCAAATAAATGTTCAAGGAGGTATTTGTCACTAATTCCATAGTACAAGGGTGTCTTTGTAATTTAACCAGAAACAAAACATGGTGTTTAATTTACTATCTGTTTGGTTCTATTGGCATTTATGGATGGCATGATGGTTTAAGTAGCCACTTTATCTGAAAATGCTACTTTAAATGTTTATTGATTTTTGTTGTTTGGTGGTACGTTTCCAATATACACCCCATAAAGGCATCTACCACCTAAGCACAATAAATGTTTTTTCCCCTTTTGACCATTTGGTGGGGTGTTTCAAGAAACAACACGATAAACAATCCAGTGTGACATTCTTGCTTTATGTTGGAGTGCCATCAAGTCGATCAATTGGTCTACAATGCCCATA